GACACTTAGGCACATACTACCACAGCTCAGGAGCAGGGTTTCATTGGCTGCTGGGTTAGTAGCTGGCACATAATATTGTAGATGACTTCAAGCATACCACCACCCTCCAAAAATGAAAGCACCTCTCTCAAAGATTTGCCCCATTTTTTATTTGGCTTTAACAATGGGATCCAATTATTGTAATAAATTATGTAAACTTTAAAGGATAACATTTTACACTGTTGCAGTATTCCTTTTTTAAAACAACTCCATTCCAAAACTGGAACTAGTCTCATTCTTTCTTACTCGTTTGTTTAAATGCACTATAAACTGGCAATTACATTCTGAGTCACTTCTCTCAAGCAGAACCTGGAAGTTATGCCAAGCAGTAAAGAGACAGCTTTTATACACGTACAAAAATGGACTAAGATGAGACCCTGATTTTGCCCATGACCCCCAATCAGGTTGGAAACTCAAGGCTCCAGATGTGAAAGGTTTGCTCACTAAGTCACTTTGTTACCCAGCTTCCTGGATTCCTGCTACTGCCTCGCTGTTACTAGAAGTATGTACAACACTAACATTCTCAAACCATGGTAATCTGCATTTAAGTGGATTATTCATTAAATTGGCCAGTAATTGACTGACTATCCAATGTCGAAAGTTCCCTTTGGTAAAGAAGCTCCCCATTACCCTGAGCTCAGAACTCACTTTCTGACATGGCAGACACTTCATCCTGAATGGCTAGGATCAGCTTGGCCTCTCTGGTCAGGTACTGACAACGACGCTCCTCATGCTGTAGAACTATGGCAATTCGACGAGAGAGGTTGTGTAAACAGTTGATCACCGATGGATCTGCGTTGGCCTACAGGCAATACAGGAACAGACCTGGTCATTAATTCAGTAGCTACCAAACACATGCAACTAGACTCAATATGAGTGTTGCACTGTTGGACAAATTATTTTTAATAATTTTCATTAAAGATAATGAATTATCTTTAATAGTAAGGTTGGAGGTCAGCCTCCCTGGCGATTGTCAAAAGAAAGGAGATTTCTCCGGCTCACACAGTAGTAAAGCTGAAGGACAGAGATCCGTAACTAAAGCAAGTCAAACACACGTAACTAGGCCAAGAAGTAGTCATGAAAACAATGAGGAGGGATCTCCAAGTTGGCATGTACAAAACAACGAACATAACCTAGGGCACAATTACTCATTTTACTTGTGTATCTTCCCATTTGTTACTGGACCTTTTACTAAAAGAAAGATTATAGAACAGATCTTCAGAGCATTAGAGGGAAACTTCAGACTACAGAGAAATTTAAAATATCAATACATTCCAATACAAAAGCACTAGAAGTACAAGGATGACATAGCTTTTACCACAAGCCACTCTCTCCATACTGGAGCACTGGTGTTTTACTAATTTTTGTCAAACCTTTGGTAGCTTATTTACACTGACTGCAAATCACACAGCCACCATTATTTTAATTCTCTTCACCTGAATCAAAGCCTAGTCATACACAGGAATAGAGACAAAGAATCATGCAAATGCTCTGACTTTAGGTAGAGCTACATAGTGAAAACACATGCCCCAATATTCAGACCTTACGCATTATGACTGGGCTTTTGGCATTAAAATTTTCAACAACATTTGATGCTAATCACTAGAGAACTAATAAGATGCTATGACACTTTTAATCCCAAAGAAAATGAAATTGGATTTAGGTTTCCACACTTCTAACAAATATTGCTTATTTAAAAGATTCCATTTGTAGGTGTCCCTCTAGAATGAAAGTGCTGCAAAGCCTATCGGCCACAGACAGCTGATAAGGTGGGGCTCACTGGCTCTAAGCCAGGAAGGGTGCAGTAAGCAGCTGTTTTATGTCTGTTAAGACATTTAAAGGAATTTAAGGTTCAGGCAGCAGATAACCTGACATCTAAACTAGAAAACCATGAGTCAACATTTTTACAGGTCAACATTTTTGCTGAGTCACAACACGTTGGTAGGGCTGAAACTTAGCACAGCAGGATCACTGCTGATTATAACATTTGGGTCTTAGCCTGTTCTGTCTGTCTGCTGCAGATGGACTCATCTTTATCTTAGAGTACCTCCACCCACAACTTGGGTCATCTGCAGCAGTAACTCTATGTTAGCAAAATTCCATTTGCTTTACATGCAGTATGTTCCACAGACAGTTCTTTATGAAGAGAATGTCATTTTGGTAAATACAATGCAGTGCTGCTTAAAAAGATGGCACGGTAAACTCCAACTGAATTACAAAGCCAGAATTTCTGCTTTTGTTCCCTGTACAAGGGCCATTAGAAATAAGATTCTAGAGAAATACAAACTATACCAGAGTCGATGGCTTCACTGCAAATCACCAAGTTGCCGCACAGAGCATGTGAATGAATAAGCAATGTTTTCAACATAAAACACCTTCAGAATGATGTTTATATGTTTTAGATTTTCTGAATTCAATTCTGGGATAATTCCATCTCTCTATTAACTCTGTGAAACTCAAGCAGAAAACCCTGTCCCCCTAGTGAGGGAGAACTTAGTCATCACAAAAAAGCCAACAACAAAGGACACATCAGTATAACAGAAAAATCTTTGTTTCACTGACAGCACTCTTAACAACTGGGGAGGGGAAGAAGGAGGGGTAGGAGGCTCTTCTCCATTTCTGCTTTTGGCCACAATGGCCAGGACATGAACTCCACAGTTCCAAATAGAAGCCGTATCACAACCAATTGCTTTACAAAGGCTTATTTCCCTCAGGTATAACTCCCTTAATCCTTCCTAGAAGGCTTCTTAGCTCATATTCATGCATTACACTTACACACACACAAAACAACGTGCTACCTCTACAACACGCAGGCTTATGGATTGGGAAGGGAAAGCCAGAGCTGGGAAATCAAATGCTGATCTCACATATGGCAGCTTTTATGCCATTAAAGTGGCTGAATCAGGCTTCTCTAAACACTAAAGCAATTGTACAGCAATGTTAAAATCAGAATGAGTGGTTCTGAGCAAACCTACTCCCAGAATGCATGGGCTATATATGGGTCCCACTATGTAAATAATTACAATACAGCAGGCTTGACCAGAAGAGAGAGACAAAAAAGGTTTTGTGACTTATGAGAGACTCAGTACAAGCCTATAGCCTAATAACTCTACACACTACCTGTCACTTTGAACTCGAGACCCAACAGCTGCCTGGTGCCTTCCTTCCCCTGGCTCACACTAATAGAAAGATTTCACTTCTAAGATGTTATCAGGTTCAAGGAAATAGCCCTAAATATTGTCCACCGGGGTCCTCGTCTCAAAAACCCTGCAGCATGACTTAGGACTCCAAAGAATGCTGTTCTGAAATGTCACTACAGGACTTATAAGAGGGCTAGTAATTTCCCTACAGAAATTCAAGGCCCTTCTCCCCCATACCTGGAATTTCTCCTGACTGTGACAAGAAGGGAAAGAACACATTTTGGTCACCAAATCAAACAACACTTTCAGCAAAAGGCCAGGTTCAGATGAAACCACAAACCTCTGATGCAGCAAAGGACACACAACCGGACTAATTGCAGAAAGCAGTGTTAGGGACAGAAAGGGGACTCCCAAGTCCCATTTCCATCTAAAAATATAAGCCTAAACTTGGTGCTTTGATTCTTGGGATAGGTGCATTAATTATTCCTCAATTTCTAAGTGTATTTGCTAATTGTCATGTATTGTAAATGACAGAGCCAAGGAAATTTTGCTTTGCTTTTGCTTCAGAATTTGAATTGCTCAGTATATGCTATACTTAAGATTGCAAAACCGTTTTCATATCTCAGTTTCCACTCACTCCTAAATTTTGAAAAATTATCCTCTTGGGCTGAAATTTTCCACGCTTGGACCGTGCCTGATGTGGTTTCTTTTTATTATTGTTTCTACTTTGAGGACAGTCTCTTCAGCTGTTTTTGAGTTCTGTGTGTATGTGGAAAAATTTCACTGCAAAATATAATAGCTACATTCCTGCTGATCATTTATTACAAACAGACTGCCTGCTTAACATAAAAGAGACTGATTATTCAAAAATACTGAGCTTTGGAAGCTGACCTATCAGTAGCTTAGTGAGGCGTGTGTTCACAGTGGTGTTTAGAAAAGGTCATCTGGAAATTCATTATGGATGTTTAAAAACTTTATCCTGAGTATGCCGAGGAGAGAGTGTTATTAAATCTGAGAGCACACATTTCTGGAGAGCTGGTCTGCTTACAAGTGCAGGCTGTTTATTGTGTATTCTATAGGTACTTAGGCCCTGTATTGAAGCTGAGCACACCTCTGGCCTGGCAGGCCTCTAGCCCCTTTATTCACTCGATTTCCTGACAAAGTATGCTTTTCACTGAGAGATCTCTAGTTCTCATATATATTCAAATTTCCAAGCATACCAAGTATGCTGAGAACTTCACAGCACACAAGCACAGAGTAGGCCCTGTGCATCCGTTAAGATCCCTGCTCCGTGGATTGAAAGGAGCATCCCACCCTCTATTGCCCTGCTAACAAGTGGATCCGCAGTCTACTCCCTTGCTACCTGCATAAAGAAATCAGCATGGCTCTTTAAGTGCACATGTATTTGATATATTTTTAATTCTGTGAAGCACTCAAATACCATGGTAATGAGGACTACAGAAATGCCTATCACTAAACAGTAAATGCATCAATGACTCCACATTTCAGAGGCAGCAATGCTGTGCTTGGAAGAAACATACCTGTGCCTCTAGCAGTAGGATTTAAGGCTACTCTTTTAAATAATATAACAGGAAACTTTTCTCTTGTCTGTACATCATCAATAGGTAAACAATAATGCAAGATTACAATTGTACAACATCTTAAAAGTCAGGATATGTAACAGTTGCGGTTTCTACAGCAATATTACATTGGCCTTGCTGCACCTACATAGTCTTTTGCATTCTTGTTTTTCTTGTTAAAGGGATACTTTAAGATTCCTGTCTATGTTATTAAATGTACACCATAAAATATACCGGATGTGCAATAAGGCTGATCTTCACTATAAAGTAGGACCTCAACCTTTGCATTTACCTGCAAAAGAATGACAGAAAATGTCCTGTTGGAAACAATCATTCCCTGGCCCGAGAGATTGGCTGCAAAAGCAGATAGGGCTCTTCCATCTTTTGACTTCTATGATTGCTTGATCTTTCTTTATTTTAACTGTGCATTTTTAGTGTCACGTGCAGTACTGTTTTTACATTTTTATATATTTCAAATTAAGAAAGTCTGGTTTATAGTGAAAGAAGGCAGTGAATGTGTGTTACTGAAATGTTACTGGCATCTGAATCAAAAGTCCTTATAAAACAATACAGAATCCATTCTTGGGTAAAAACAGTTCTTACCCTTAAGGCAAATACAACATTAAAGAGAATCATGGTGGGCATCTCTCTCTTTGGTGATGGATCAGTTTTGGATACCTGCAAAACATTATATATATATATATATATATATATTAAAAATATCTAAATGAGTGAAGGCAGTACTTCAGACATAGTTTTAAAATAATATAGATGCGGCTACTAAAAAAAAATGGTCTTGATTTAACAGATCTAGTCTTATTAGGTTAGTTTCCTGTTGCATTTCACCATTGGCTGCCTGTACATTTATTCCTTCAAAAGGGACTCACTGTATTTCTACATATAGTTAATTAAATTTATGGAAAATTGATTCTTTTATAACAAGTAAAAGCCTCTAGGTGTCGTCAACCAAACAATCCCAGACCTTCCCTTCCTAAAATGTACTCCACTATATCATGTTTTTAATATTTCCACTTGTCAGGACTGAAGAGAATATATGTTTTAGAAATGTATATATTCAAGCACACACATTATACAATTCTAAAACAAAAGTAAATTTGTCTCCTACATATGGCATTTTGGAAACCTTTTCCCCCAAAACCATTATCATCACAACAAGATGAGATTTAACAAAAAAAATATATAGATGTTTGAAAAAATAAAATCAAGCAAGACAAAACAACAGGTGGAATTCCTTCATTAGGAGCTGTTAAATCTTGATTATTCCACTGACCAAGTGTCTCCACAAGATGGAGTAGGAGATCCAAGCGACATGTCTGTACTCCCAGAGAGCTCCATAATGCTTATGCCTAATCCTCACAAGTATGGAAAACTCTCACTTCCCAGGGACTTTGTTTCCCTGAACTGTGTGTTACTTGGGGCCCAAACGGGACGATTTATCAGTATTCTTAAAAAACTAGATAAACTACAAGGAAAGAGGAAATCATCTGTTTTCTAAAGGATCAAATGAGATTCTAGTTAAAAGGAGGAGAGAGGGATCACTTTGCACTGCAGTTTTGACAACAAGCCTTGTTATTTGGTTTCTTGGAACTTAAAAAGAACAGGAGTACTTGTGGCACCTTAGAGACTAACAAATTTATTAGAGCATAAGCTTTCGTGGGCTACAACCCACTTCTTCGGATGCATATAGAGTGAAACATATATTGAGGAGAAATATATAAGCATGTTGCTCTCTGTATGTGTGTATATATTTCTCCTCAATATATGTTTCACTCTATATGCATCCGAAGAAGTGGGTTGTAGCCCACGAAAGCTTATGCTCTAATAAATTTGTTAGTCTCTAAGGTGCCACAAGTACTCCTGTTCTTTTTGAGGATACAGACTAACACGGCTGCTACCCTGAAACTTGGAACTTAAAGGTTCCCACAGGAACTTTTCTCTAAGCACCCTTCAGAGGCCTCAAAGCATTTACAAACTTAGGGCCGAATCCTGTTCCCACTGAAGTTAAAGGGAGTGCTGCCACTGACTTCAAACGGCAGCTGGGTCAGATCTCACAATGTTCTCTAACCAGGAGAGAAAGACAGGAGTACCTTTACCAATTTAAACTATAGGGAGAGTTTAAAGAGGCAGAATGTCATTAAACAAACAGCAGTCATACCAGGGACACAGGATTAAATACTTTAACTATTGTGAAAAGACTGCCATATGATTTTTAACAACCACAAAAGGCCAGGATCTAACGTGAACAAGAATCTTGCAACAGCACATTGTTCTGACACTGCATTCTGGGCCACAGCTAATGAGTCACAAACACCACTTCTTGTAGTGCCCTGGATATTAACCCATTGCAGGTTATGAAATCCGATGAGATGCAAGCCAGAAATGTTGTGGCTACTTTATAATTCAGAACTTTATTTATTTACTTTTTATTGAAAGGGATTGGAAGGAAATACCTTTGCCTCTTTCTAATTTTGCAAAAAGAAAATTCCAGCTTTAGAACTGAATGACCTAGCAGAGCTGGCTGCCATTCTGAGTCAGTTTAGAACACTGAATATGCAGAGGTCTTTAGGAGTGATAAAATATACACAATTGAATAGTTCTATAGAATAACAAAAAGATGTTTACAGGTCTCAATAACTTTTACTACCCAGATGTGATTCTATTCAGAAAAATAGAAAACCAAGATGTTCTTTATGCAACTAGAATGAGAGTGAGAAGAATTTGAGCAGCATTCCATCGCAAATAGGCAACTGCAAATCTGGTAGCTTTTCCATTTAATTTTCAGCCATTACACTTACAAATACATTGGGCAACTGACACCTTAATAAACAGGCTCTTTAGGATCAGGCTTGGAAAATGCACAAATCTGATACTATTAGACAACACATAGTGTTCACTCTGGCATATGGTACAATGAACGTTAATGCCATTCATTGCACTACATGACATTGTCTCCACTGAATATTCACCCCAGGATCATCTGAGAAAAACTGCCAGCAGTATGAGCAGTCACAGCTTAGCAATTTCTAGTGGCATGGATGGGAAGGGTTAAAAGTGATTCTGGAAAAAATAAATGCAAACTGCACCTAGAAGTTCCCTGCAAAATACTGCCTCTCAGTTTGCTGTTATACCTCAAGGCTAAAGTCATAAGGCCTTGTCTGCAGTAAAGAACTCTGTTTAAAACGTGTCACTGCTATGAATAC